ATTTTTTTTTACGTTGACCAATTATTTTTATGTAAAACGTATGCGTACGCAAGCTCATTTTATAAAAAGAAAAAAAAAGAAAAATTTTTTTTTACGTTGACCAATTTTTATGTAAAACGTATGCGTACGCAAGCTCATTTTATAAAAAGAAAAAATAAGAAATATTTTTTTTTTACGTTGACTAATTTTTATGTAAAACGTATGCGTACGCAAGTTCATTTTATAAAAAGAAAAAATAAGAAATATTTTTTTTTTACGTTGACCTATCTTTTTATGTAAAACTTACAAGTACGGTACTTTATTTTATAAAAAAAAAAGAAAAAAATTGTAAAAATTTTTGCAATAACTCTTAAACGATTAAAAATATTTTTTATAAAATTTTTAATTTTTTTAAAAATATTCTTTCTCTTTTCCTGTCAATTATTTCCGTTTCCGGTGACGAAAAAAAAGAGAACAACCGCGTTTTAAACGGCAATGGAATAATCCGTCGTAGGCTTAGTAAGGCCTGAAGGGCGAGACCAAAGCGATGATCTCAGTCCCATTTTGACTTTTTTCATAGTGTCTATGTCGCATTCTGTTTCTCTGATATCGTGCCTGTCCGGCGGATGCATGAGAGAGTTTGGAGGAAGGCCGTTGAAACTCGTTTCGGCGGTTGAAATTGGAGGAAGTATCAGTGAGCGAAGAGAGGTTTTGCTGGAATTTATCCACCGGTTGTGACTTCTTACAGTTTGCACAATAAAAGGATATGGTAGGAGGGTAAAAACCGAAACATTTTTTTTTCTCCCTTTACAATGTGTTAATTATCATTATTAATAAAAAGTTACCTATTGCGTCCTCTTTTCGGAAGAGATTTAACTTCTGACATTAGTGATTTGTCCGAAGATGTACTCGAATGAGGTCCGTGATAAAGATAACCTGAAAAAAATTTCAATTTCTTTTTTTATCATCAAAAAATCACGTGATCGTGAAATTTACTTACTTTGTTTTAACCTTGAAGTATCTAATTGATTATTGATGATTCAGTTCTGCTGGAAGTTAATTGGTCGTTATCAGAATCTGAACCATCGCTATCAGCTTCACGTTTTCTACTCCTACTCCTGCTCCTTCTTCGTTCCAACATTTTTAT